TGGCACTAGGCAAGGATGCCCTCTCTCACCACTCATATTCAATATAGTACTAGAAGTTCTAGCCAGAGCAATCAGGCAAGAAAAAGAAATAAAGGGTATTCAAACAGGAAAGGAAGAAGTCAAATTGTCTCTATTTGCAGATGACATGATTGTATATCTAGAAGACCCCATCATCTCAGCCCCAAATCTCCTGAAACTGATAAGCAACTTCAGCAAAGTCTCAGGATACAAAATCAATGTGCAAAAATCACATGCATTCCTATACACCAATAACAGACTTAAAGAGAGCCAAATCAAGAATGAACTACCATTCACAATTGCCACAAAGAGAATAAAATACCTAGGAATACAACTAACAAGGAACGTAAAGGACCTCTTCAAGGAGAACTACAAGCCACTGCTCAACGAAATAAGAGAGGACACAAACAGATGGAGAAACATTCCATGTTCATGGTTAGGAAGAATCAATATCGTGAAAATGGCCATACTGCCCAAAGTAATTTACAGATTCAATGCTATCCCCATCAAGCTACCAATGACCTTCTTCACAGAACTGGAAAAAACCACCTTAAACTTCATATGGAACCAAAAGAGAGCCCGCATAGCCAAGTCAATTCTAAGCAAAAAGAACAAAGCAGGAGGCATCACACTACCGGACTTCAAGCTATACCACAAGGCTACAGTAATCAAAACAGCATGGTACTGGTACCAAAACAGAGATATAGACCAACGGAACAGAACAGAGGTCTTGGAGGCAACACAACATATCTACAACCATCTGATCTTTGACAAACCAAACAAAAACAAGCAATGGGGAAAGGATTCCCTGTTTAATAAATGGTGTTGGGAAAACTGGCTAGCCATGTGCAGAAAGCAGAAACTGGACCCCTTCCTGACAACTTACACTAAAATTAACTCCAGATGGATTAAAGACTTAAACATAAGACCTAACACCATAAAAACCCTAGAAGAAAATCTAGGCAAAACCATTCAGGACATAGGTGTAGGCAAGGACTTTATGACCAAAACACCAAAAGCATTGACAACAAAAGCCAAAATAGACAAATGGGACCTAATCAAACTCCACAGCTTCTGCACAGCAAAAGAAACAGTCATTAGAGTGAATTGGCAACCAACAGAATGGGAAAAAAATTTTGCAATCTACCCATCTGACAAAGGGCTGATATCCAGAATTTACAAAGAACTAAAACAGATGTACAAGAAAAAAACAAACAAGCCCATTCAAAAGTGGGCAAAGGATATGAACAGACACTTTACAAAAGAAGACATACATGAGGCCAACAAACATATAAAAAAATGCTCATCATCACTGGTCATCAGAGAAATGCAAATCAAAACTACATTGAGATACCATCTCACGCCAGTTAGAATGGCGATCATTAAAAAATTTGGAGACAACAGATGCTAGAGAGGATGTGGAGAAACAGGAACACTTTTACATTGTTGGTAGGAGTGTAAATTAGTTCAACCATTGTGGAAGACAGTGTGGCGATTCCTCAAGGACCTAGAAACAGAAATCCCATTTGACTCAGCAATTCCATTACTGGGTATATATCCAAAGGATTATAAATCATTCTACTATAAGGACACATGCACACGAATGTTCATTGCAGCACTGTTTACATAGCAAAGACCTGGAACCAACCCAAATGCCCATCGATGATAGACTGGATAGGGAAAATGTGGCACATATACACCATGGAATATTATGCAGCCATCAAAAACGATGAGTTTGTGTCCTTTGTAGGGACATGGATGAACCTGGAAACCATCATTCTCAGCAAACTGACAGAAGAGCAGAAGATCAAACACCGCATGTTCTCACTCATAGGCGGGTGTTGAACAATGAGAACACATGGACACAGGGAGGGGAGCACTACACACTGGGGTCAGTTGGCGGGAAAAAATAGGGGAGGGATGGTGGGGGGTGGGGATTTGGGGAGAGATAGCAAGGGGAGAGATGCCAGATGTAGCTGATGGGGAGGAAGGCAGCAAATCACACTGCCATGTATGTACCTATGCAACAATCTTGCATGTTCTTCACATGTACCCCAAAACCTAAAATGCAATAAAATAAATAAATGGAAAAAATATATAATGATTATCTGGGCATGGTGGCACATGCCTTTAATCCCAGCCATTCGGGAGGCTGAAGCTGGAGGATGGTTTGAGCCCGGGAGGCAGAGGTTGCAGTGAGCTGAGATTGTGCCACTGCACTCCAGCCTGGAAGACAGAATGAGGCCTTGTCTGAAAAAAAAAAAAAAAAAAAAAAAAGAAGAAGAAGGGGGAAAATCCTCTTTAATCTTTTGCATGCAATTTAGCCCCTCACGTAACCATTCTGTTCGCCCTGACAGGAGTGTCCATCATACTCCGATTACCCAGGTACCGTGTTAGTCTTGTTGTCCACTGTTAGCCAATGCCTTGGGAATCAGGATGGCTCACTTGGGAATCAGGATGGCTCACTTGGGAATCAGATGGCTCACTTGGGAATCAGGATGTTTCACTTGGGAATCAGGATGGCTCACTTGGGAATCAGGATGGCTCACTTGGGAATCAGCATGGCTCACTTGGGAATCAGATGGCTCACGGTTTCTCAACTCTGTCCCAGGCATTGGGATAAGCAGTTAGCACTGATGACCACATTTGATATTCAAAAACCTTATGAAGCAGGTACTGTAACTAACATCACATTTAGGAGATGAGCAAGCTAAGGCACAGAGAGGGCGAGAAAGTAGCTTAAGGTAGCTCAGTGCTCAAGGGCCAAAGCCAGATCAGAATGCAGACAGTTTTGGGTCTGGAGTGTGCTCTTTTAGCCTAAAAACCACTCTGCTTAGCACAGACTCTATCTTTGCAGATACAGGATGGCAAAGTGGCTCCCAGAAGAGGGGGATGAAGCTGAGAAACAGAGACATTTGTATAATGGGGTACAATGTAGCCATTGCAAGAACGAGGTGCTTCTATCAATGGAAATGGGACAATCTCCAACATGTAGTATTAAATTTTGTAAAAAAAAGAGCAAGATGAGCATAGCTCTGCATTGATGCTTTTATAAGTATTGCATCTTTCTGGAAGATTATGTCACTCATTGACGGGCCCTTCTGGGTAGAAAACAGGGGTCTGGGGAGCTAGAGATTTGGGATTAGAGAAAAACACTTTGAGTCCTTCTTCATTTCCTGTAAAATGATCTGGGTTTTGTGGACAAAGACCCAGGCCAGACCGGAGGGCTTCCCATGATGGGACCTGTTCCCCAAGGCCAAAGTTAGGATGTGCAGTAGCGGGACACAGCAGCTGTGTGTTGCATGCATGGGATGTTGGGGAAAGCACTCAGAATAACCACGTCCCTACTTTCCTCCTGGAAAACCTCCTCCAGCTCCTGTAGTTGTGCTGTGAGGTCTGCAATTGAGAAGGGAGCACCAGGCAGGCAGCCACCTCCTCCCTCATCTAACATTCATTTCTCTCCCTTCCCTCCCTCATTTTCACCAGCTCATTCCTGTCTTCTCTTTGTCCCTTCTGCCTCTTTCCTTCCTCTGTCATCATCTCCCTTTGACATAGTTATCCAAGAAAGAAGCTGTGATCTGAACTTTTATTTTCTCCCATGAATTGCAGTGGCTTTCCATATCAATATTTACCTCTGAAAGTAAAATTCTGTAAGTTAAGAGGAACTGTGGCTTAAAATAGCAAATGGTATATTTCATCACCAGAACTTGCTCTAAGAATGTGAAAGTAGATTAAACTATTTCTCTTTAATTTGTCATGCCTAATGTGGTGAGAGAATTCATTGATGAAGTTATAAAACTTGAGACAGATTTGCTTCAATAATCTGCATCTCATCAGAAATATTTGGAATTCTTTTAATGAGGTGATAGCTACGTGGTTTCTTGCCTCATCTCCCATAAAGGACGGTTGTTGTTCTTGGAGCTGTTTTTAAAAAAAACTTAGCAAAGTAGTTAAGTGAGATGCTGAACGGAAACTGCTGCTTTTTTGTGTGTGTGATTAATATTAATTTGCCAAATAGGCCAGGAAAAGAATTGCGTTTCTGCTTCAGCTCCCTTTTTTGAAAAAGGTGAAAATTCTTGAATGAAAAGCTTCAGAATGTGCAGATAATGATCTGAAGTTATTTAATTGGAAGTGTGAATTGAAACTCCCTTTTCCCAACTACTCTTTTTTTTTTTTTTTTTTTTTGGGGTTTTGCTTTTTTTTCTCAGACTGGCGTGCAGTGGCATGCTCTCAGTTCACTGCAACCTCCGTCTCCCAGGTTCAAGTGATTCTCCTGCCTCAGCCTCCCAAGTAGCTGGGATTACAGGGGCCCGCCACCATACCCAGCTAATTTTTTGTATTTTTAGTAGATATGGGGTTTCACCACGCCCAACTACTCTTATATTTAAGGTAACGTACAAGGCCGGGTGTAGTGGCTCATGTTTGTAATCCCAACACTTTGGGAGGCCAAGGCATATGGATCACTTGAGGTCAGGGTTTAAGACCAGCCTGGCCAACATGGCGAAATCCCATCTCTACTAAAAATACAAAAAGTAGCTGGCGTGGTGGTGTGTGCCTATAGTCCCAGCTACTGGGGATGCTGAGGCAAGAGAATTGCTTGAACCTGGGAGGTGAAAGTTGCAGTGAGCTGAGATCACGCCACTACACTCCAGCCTGGCGACAGAGCAACACTCCATCTCAAAATAAATAAATACATAAATAAAGTAATGTTTAAGCTTTAAAACAAAACTTAACTGAATAGAATATAATTTTCTAAACAAAAATATAAGGTCTCCCTTTTTGATTTCAAAACCTGATGCAACTTTCAGTTGTTTCCCATGGTGTGATAGTCATTTGGAAACCATCGTTACCGACTTCCTTAACATAGCGGAGAGAATTGGCAATCACAAGCTCTGGACCCCTTTACACAGTTAACTCAGAGTCCCATGCAATCAAATAGTTGCAGGAAATGGATGCCAGAAGAGAGAAACTCAGATACTCACATTCACCTTCATCTTGATCCTTTCAAGAAATTATTTTAAAAAGTACTGTCCATATCCTGGAAGACATCAGCAGAAATCACAAATCGCTTGGGAATGGCAATCTTTCTGTAGGAGTTTGTGCAGGAATGCTGTGAGGTCTGGGTCTAAAAGTACTTTCTCTGCAGCTGTCCTTGCCAGTGGATCTGGCCAGTGGCTCTCTAAGCTCCTGGGGGAAGTTCACTGCCCTTCCTGCTATCCCAGCCACGGGGAAGGGTGCGCTGGTTACATAACACATTCTCTCCCACATTCCCATTGGTTCCCTCCCATCCAAATGGATGCAAATAGGCTCTGTGGCCCATTTATCCATAGAAACCAGGGAAAAAGAAGTGAATAAACCAGGTGAACTTGGATATGAGGAGGGATACAAGAGAAAAGAAAAACTTTAATGAAAAGAGAGTTCCTTATTTTCTTAACATCTCTAAAAATAATCCTGGAGAATGGCATATGCTGTAATAAGCACAAATTTTAACTGGGTTCTGTATGATAACATTGAACTCTGACCCAACCAGCTTTGAATTCTTCCCGATGATTTAGATGGAAAAGCCACACATTAAAGGAACTTCTGCAGCTGTAGGAGTTTGAGGAGGAGGTTGTGGCCAGAAAAAAATTCCAAAGCCACCCAGTGGAAATGAAACATTTGCTTCCCTGATACCTGAATACTGCGGTTTTCCAGTAGGTTTGGGTCTTACCCAGATCGACATGCTTTAATACACTTCCCCTACTCATAGAAACCTTGCTAAGCTGACTTTTAGGGCTTCATAGAGTTGGCAATTATTTATTAAGCACCTACTGTATGTCTGACAATATATGCTGTGGGAACAGGCAACCAGGTGTCCTTGATCTAAGCTCAGGATTGAAATGATACAATAACAAAGCTTTCTCAGGTCTTCACGTAATTGATTATCATGGCTGTGGCCCGAGGGGGGTCAATGTCATACCAGACTGCATTCTCCAGCTCAACATGCCCTAGAGATCCCAGTGTGTGCCTTCACAGCCTTGCCACTGTCTCCCACCGCCATGCCTATTCCTTGCCAGCTAAGTTCCTGAGTTATTGCTTAAGATATTTGGTTTGGGGAACTGTTGGGTCAAGTTAAGGGGTTGACATTTTCACCCATGCTCATGAAAAGCTCACCCAAGGAAGAGGGCAAGTAACAGAACTTCTCTGGGCTTCAGTGTGTTCATCTGAAAGTGAGAGAGCTTCACAGGGCAACCTCCACGTTCCCATCCAGCTGCAAAACATACATTTCCTATGACTTCTTTTCCTACTCTTTTTTTTTTTTTTTTTTTTTTTGAGACGGAGTTTTGCTCTTGTTACCCAGGCTGGAGTGCAATGGCGCGATCTCGGCTCACCGCAACCTCCGCCTCCTGGGTTCAGGCAATTCTCCTGCCTCAACTTCCTGAGTAGCTGGGATTACAGGCACGTGCCACCATGCCCAGCTAATGTTTTGTATTTTTAGTAGAGACGGGGTTTCACCATGCTGACCAGGATGGTCTCGATCTCTTGACCTCGTGATCCACCCGCCTCGGCCTTCCAAAGTGCTGGGATTACAGGCGTGAGCCAAAGCGCCCGGTCCTCTTTTCCTACTCTTACCTCTTATTTCATGAAAGCCAAGTGAAGGACTACAGAGAAAATAATGTGTAGGTGGTTTTCCTTTCTAACTTCCTTTCCTTCCCTCTTCCCTTTTTTCTTTCTTGAAGGAAAAAAGTGAAGAAAGGCATAAAGAAAGAAGGAGTTTTGTATTATTTCATGGGTCATAAGCAATTATGCCAACTCGGATTAGAAGAAAACTTTGTCTAAGCCTGTGTTTCTCTTTCTTTTTTCTTTTCTAGAGATAGGGTCTCACTTTGTGACCCAGGCTGGAGCGCAGTGGCATGATCACAGCTCACTGCAGGCTCGAACTCTCAGGCTCAAACGATCCTCCCAACTCAGTCTTTCAAGTAGCTAGGACGACAGGCATGAGCCACCACACCCAGCTAATTTTTAAAATGTTTTGTAGAGACACAGTCTCGCTATGTTGCCCAGGCTGGTCTCCAACAGCTGGGCTCAAGCGATCCTCCCACCTCAGCCTCCCAAAGTGCTGGGATTACAGGCACGAGCTACCACACCCAGTCCCCAGCCTGTGTTTCTAAAGTTCTGTGTGTCTAGCAACTGCATGCTTCCTGTCATATCCATGTGCCACTGTACAATTTTTTTAGGTAAAGTAATAGATTGAGCCAAGTAAAAAACAATTCTTCCTCAGCAATGTTACCCATGCAGTTACAGGTTTGATGAGCTAGTTTTAATTTGTTTGAATGCACACGAGGATACACCAGTAATGTAAAAAAACTGTCCTGTGCACCACACTTGAAATCCTCTGACATGCCTGTAGTCAGGGTCCCTGCGGGGTGTGACTTTTCCATTTGATCAATCACGAAGAATTCAAAGCTGGCTCAGGCTGTTTGTTTAATGTGTCACAGAGAAATGAGTGAAGGTTCAGGCTTGTTTACCAAATTCTCCATCTTTCTATGGTCATTTTTAGAGGTGCTTCAGGGGAGCAAGGAGCCACTCTGTTGTTTAAGCTTTTCTGCTTTTGTTCCGTTGGTGTGAATTTATTGCAATTCACTAGGTTTGCTCATTTAGTTGTTAATAACGGACTACAGATAAACCCATCCCAACCCTTATTTGAGATGCCCAAAGGGAGCTTAGGGAGAATGTCTTGGGTAACTGGCCCTGTCTCCCAGTGGCTGGCCATCACCTCACTTTGGGGAATGCCAATGTATGGAAGGAGCACCTTGAGATGCTTGTTATTAATTACTGACTCTTGTGTTTCTATTCCCCTTTCAACTGTGGAGAAACCCTCACTTCTGAACCTGAGTTGGGTGGTGACTCACCCCTGTAATCTTGGTGTTTTAGGAGGCTGAGGCGGGAGGACTGACTGAGGCGGGAGGACTGATTGAGGGGGGAGGACTGACTGAGGCCAGGAGTTCAAGACAAGCCTGGGTAACGCAGGGAGAGCTCCTCATCTCTACAAAACATAAAAAGAAATTAGATGGGCGTGGTGGTATGCGCCTGTAGTCTCAGCTTCTTGGGAGGCTGAAGCAGGAGGCTTGCTTGAGCCCAGGAGTTTGAGGTTTTAGTGAATTATGATCACACTACTGCACTCCAGTCTGGGTGACAGAGCGAGACCCTGTCTCTAAAAAAAAAAACTTCTGAACCCAAAGTGAACATTCCACAAGGCACTTTTCACTTATTGTTAATGGCAAACACCTGCAACACGCAGGCAGGACCCTACTGCTCTTCTGCCTCTCATCCCTCCACACTTGGCCTCCTGGAGGAGTTTGAAGAATATGGAGCCTGGCACGGTGACTCACACCTGTAATCCCAGCACCTTGGGAAGCTGAGGTGGGTGAATCACTTGAGAACAGGAGTTTGAGACCAGCTTGGGCAATATGGTGAAACCCCACCCCTACTAAAAATACAAAAATTAGCCAGGCACAGGGGTGGGTGCCTGAAGTCCCAGTGACTTGGGAGGCTGAAGCGGGAGGCTGAGGTGGGAAGGTCACTTGAGCCCAGGAGGCAGAGTTGCATTGGGCTGAGATTGTGCCACTGCACTCCAGGCTGGTGGGGAAAAAAAGTGCAGTCTCCCATGCCCAGCGCTGGCGATGCTGTTCCAGGCACGGCAGCCACATTATTCTCAGGGTCGACTCTGCTTTTCGGAGGTGTGTGCACAAGGCTGCTCTTCCCCTGAACAAACGCTTTATGGGTGATGTGTTTGGAAAGGGTTCCTAAAAAATGTATTTCCCTTTTTTGCAAGTCAAGTTGGAGCGTTCTAATCTTCCCCTCCACGGCAGCTCTCTTACCAGCCTCCCACCTTCCTCCTTTTAAACTATTTCCCCTTCAGGCCCGTGTCATTTCCTCCCTTAGTCATTGAAGTTCCAAAATCGCCCTGTTATTATTCTATGGTTGCTTCCCCATTCCATTATCGTGTTGGCCAAGCGCCTGTCTATTCACAGACCCTTTAGGTTTTGGGGTGATGATGGCAGTCTCCTTAGCTTTTTTCCCCTTTAAATGTTCTCTATAGGAAATAAAATGTTCAAAGACTGCAGGTTATTAAACCAGGAAACCAATCATGAGTATGTAATGGATTTATTAGTCATAAGAATTATTTACTATATATGGAGAAATGGGACCAGACAATTGTCCTTGGAAGCATTTCGAACAGTGGACTTTCAATATTTGTAGAAGGAATGAAAGGCACATTGTGTTCCTGAATCAAACATAGCACACGTAGTTAAGTAGAAGCTGTCTACTCCTTGATTTACTATTTTTTCTGCTCATAACCACTCCTCGTCCCACACGGCAATCAGCAGTCTCAAACACCCAAAGTTTTACCTTTTTTTTTTTTTTTTTGAGACAGTCTCGCTCTGTTGCCAGGCACCAGGCTGGAGTGCAGTGGCACAATCTTGTCTCTCTGCAACCTCCACCTCCCGGGTTCAAGCAATTCTCCTGCCTCAGCCTCCCAAGTAGCTGGGACTACAGGTGCGTGCCACCATGCCCAGCTAATTTTTATATTTTCTAGCAGAGACGGGTTTCACCATGTTGGCCAGGATGGTCTCGATCTCCTGACCTTGTGATCTGTCCCGCTCGGCCTCCCAAAGTGCTGGGAAGGTTTTACGTTTTCTAAAGACAGAGTACATGATTCTCCTTCATGCCCACGGAGAAGAGCAGGGCACCACCCCAGTGGAAAAAGAAGCCACCTACGCTGACGTCTCTGCATTTACCAGCTTCTGCTCTTTCCTACCTATAGCCCCTTTGTTGCATAGCAGCCTGAGTGATCTAGAAAACACAAATCAGACCATGTCATCTCCTGCTGTAAGTGGGCCGGTGGTTTCCTTTGCAATTAGAATGGCTTCAAAGCTCTCACACAGCCGACCGTGCTTACACCTCAGATCTCACTTCCGACCACTCTCTCTCTTGGTTTACTCTGCCTCAACCCCACTGGTCTTTTTATGAACGCTCTCCTCTGCTGAATGCATTCCCACTACAGGGCCTTGGTATCTGCTGTTCCCTCCGCCTGGAATGCTTTTCCCATCCCCCGAGTCTTCAGAGTGGCCTTTTCCATCCATCACCTCCATCAGATCCCCGTTTTCTCCACTTTCTGGTGTTTCTCACCACCTGAAACCATGAGTCCATTAACTCCCCATCATGCTGACTCCACTGGAATGTCAGCTCTGCCTTGATCACCCTGAACCCCCAGAACCCAATAACTATGTGTTGGGTGACTGGTTGAGCCATGGATGGCGAGCTGCGTTTTCAAGTTGGGTATTGTGTCTGGGCTGTTTTGCCTCGTGGAATAGATGAAGGGAGGAAGCTGCTGAAAACATCGGAGGGAGCCACAGGGCTTCGTGACCTTGATTTCAATAGCAACAGATTGCATCTAGGGCAACAACTGACCGTGGACAAGGAGGGGGCCGATTGGCGAGAGAATAGGCTGAGTAGCATCTTAGGCTGAAGCCAGGTAGGGGTTAGAGAGTCAGGAATGACCTCTGTGGCCAAACATCTGATGACTAGAAAGCAGTGCTGTTCCTGTTCTCAGGGCAGGCAATATCCAGGGCTCCACCTGCACTCCCTGTAACCTCCCATTCATTCACACACACTACCACAAAGCCTTTATTGAGCACCTACTTGGTGCAGGCACTGCCGTAGTCATCAGAGATGAGGCACAGAATAAGAAAGCCCGGGTCTGTCCGTCATGGAGTTTCGTTCCCGGAGAGGAAGACAGTGAACAAACAAAGTGAGATAATTTTGGATCTTAGTAAGTGAAGGTAAGACAGATGAGAGTGAGAGGGGTGGGCAGGTGTAGCGGGGGAAGTGATTTGCACAGCGTGGTCCAGAGAGGCCTCTGGGTGAGGCGATGCTTGCTAGAAAGAGGAGCATCCAAGGAGGAGAACAGCAGGGAAGAAGGGGAAGGAACTGAGGCAGAAGAGCTGCTGGGAGTGGGATCTAATGGGCCCTCAAGGGCCCGGTCAGCTTTCTGCGCACAATCCCATTTGCCCTTAAACAAAGAATGAGTTTGAAATGTCCTGCTCACCACCTAAGAGCTGCTAAAGGTACAAGGAGAACCTAAAACTGCTGTACACTCACAAACGAAGCCTTATCAAGCTTTCTTGCCCACAAGCACAGAAGCAAGCCAAGTCCCAGCAAGTGGCAGGCACTTCTAAGCCACCACATTCTGTCACGTTTAAACCAACCTTGAGAATGTGGGAAAGTTTTAAAAAAATTCTAAGTCTTTAGTTGATCTTTC